TAAAAATTGCCGCCCGGCATTGCGACCATGTCACAATAAATAATTGCTTGTTAGTTTTTTAATTGCAACTTTAAGAATTTTGAAAATAAATAACTTATAAAGAAATAATCTCGTTTTCTTCGTTTCTGGGCGGGTGATTTAAATATTTTGTCCACAAGAATTTTCGATATTTCACACGAACAGAAGTTATGGGTTTTTGGTGTTTTGCTTAACACAACAAACACACAAACTTTAATTAAAATAACGAAACATCATAAGCATTGAAATCTAATAATTTTCCAAGATTAACGATTACCGCGATTTATACACTTATTTTGATTTAATAAAAATACCAGTCGAGCTCCCTATAACACGGTAGATACGTTCCGCTTTTTATGAAATTCATGTTCTACGAGTGAGCCAATCGCAGCCCGGCACGTATGCAGTTTACAGACTATGGCTGTTTGAAAGGTTTTCTTCCATAAAATTAATCGATTCTAGACTAATTTGACCCAACATTTCCAAAACACGTATAATTTTTTGGGAATAATCCATATAAACTATGCTATAAGCAAAAAATTGTAGGATTACATACCGAGTATTCACCGTTCGACGACGCCATTGCTTATGCTTGTTTTCGTCGTGGAGCGGCGCGTCGAACGGCGGGCGCGTGTTTCCTGATAAATTAGTTTTTTGCGAAAAATTTGCTGAACTTTGGAGACATCATTAATATAAATATAATTTTTATGGCCGTTAATTAAACAATAAATGGTGTTTAGTAGGTCCGATGCACGTTTAAACTAGTGATGTAACGAATATTCGGTTACTATTCGGTATTCGGACTATTCGGCCGAATACCTAAAAACAGGAGTAATAAATAACAAAAACACAGTAAATTAATCATTTTGGTATTTAGATTTACTGTTGTTGGATGAGTGTCGTTTGTTTATATTTATTTATAACTTCTAACATGCACAAAATAAAAAAAAAACATATTATTAGTCACATGTATTCACAATTTATAATTACAAAGATCAGCCCACGTACAGTACACGCTTATCGTTGGAGAATCCTCGCACATCTGAGGGTCTGACCCTGCCTATCCTTCTTTTTAAGCGCTCGTCTTTGCTCTTCCCTTTCTCTTTCCTCTATCGCTCTAATCCATGTATGCCTATGCATACATCATAATACGCGCTCACGATACTTTCGATTCGTCACTTTTCCGTCGTAGAGTTCCCATTTTACAATTACGTGACTCATAGCGTGGTGATAACGGAGAAAAGAGACAGATAGGACGTCGGTATAAGTTACAGTTATGATTTCACAGATTCGAGACAGCTTGGTAGCCCGAACGGCCCAGGCTTTTGCCCGTGCACGTTAAATAACTTTCATTACAAGCATTTAGCTTTCCGAAGTCTATGACAACAATTGTTTGGCATTGACAACCGCAAATTTCGTGCCAATAAGCTGCCTCGACTTGTTCGATTATGTCATCGACTCAATTTCAAATTTATTTTCAGAATTTCACTTCGCGGTCCTTCTTTGTTCTTTTTCCGTTATTTACATGTGTAAGCCATTTCACTGTTATCCACATTTGATATCATCATTTATCACATACTGCCATGACCCTCTTGTCTGTCCGCTACAACTGTCAAGAATTAACGCGAGTGGCAAAGGTTAGTGACAGCGGGCGAATAGAGTGCAGGATCCTTGCCATAATGTGGTTTGCGTGCCAATTTTCGTACGTGCGTAAATCAAGCCGAATAATTTGGCCGAATATACTATTCGTTGCAACACTAGTTTAAAACTCAACTGTTTGTGCAATATCCGCTATTGGAGTAGATTTGACTAATTCTGTCGCGACACAAGTCGGCGATGACATTTTACCGTATTTTACGAGTTTCTTTTAGCGTGTTTATACGAATACGGTCGCAATTTTTCGCCGCTATACACGAATCAGCATTATACGAACCCGTTTATAGGAGGCGTAATAGACACTTAAAATACCTTAACTTGTCGCCATGTCCAATCACCAGGAACAATTTTTCATTAACTCTTTTGCGACACTCAAATTTCCGTCGCATGTGACGAACGAACCAAGTAATGTCCGTTGGTACGCTGATTGGCTTATAAATGGGCTTTCGAGAAGCGGCTCTTGCGGAGGTCTCATGGTGTAACGATAAGCACTCTGGACTTTGAATCCAGCGATCCCAGTTCGAATCTCGGTGAGACCTTTTGTTTTTTTACTGTCGTCGAAGTTCGTGCCCTATGCAATTATGACGCCTAATAACGTATAGAAAAGTCTGCCGCAGGATAACATACAATGCGTGTATGTCCAACCGTATTGCACTCAATCAAAAATGTTTATTGTGATATTTATTGTATAATCGAGTTACAATAGCCAAGTACTTTTGACCAATGAATATCTAGCCTTAATTAAATTGCCTCAATGTCCTTTTTTCTTATTAATATGTAAATTTTCGACTATAAATTCGTATCTTCTATTATCAGGACTTATTATACTGGTTTTACAGATAATATTACAAAGATTAACAGAAAACAATTTTTATTTTATTTCATATACCTGGACACATACACAATTTTGCGTTTCGGACATATTCGTCCCTCCTCAGCAGGTATTTATATATATTCTATAAACAATAAAAATTTTTTTATTAAAATTTACATTTTAAATATTCAATAAAATTCTTACAATTTTCCAGTTTTCCTTTATTTTTTGCACCACTGGATATTCAAGTTTTATCAACAAGATCACAATTACTATTATTTTAAACCTGTATTAAACCAAATTCTATTAACATTATCTAAATTTTATACATTTGTTCTCTTTCTGTTTGCCTCACACTTCGTTTCCATTTCTTTCCATCGTTCTTTTTATCTTTTAGACACACCCCTTTATCTATGAATCTTAGCCATGATTGGTGGATTTCTCTACCATTATTGCTGTTTATTCTATTATTTTGTCTGATTATATAAATATGTTCATAAAGTTGTCTTTTGTAATTATTCTTTTCTTTTTTCTTTATTTTTACGGAATTCAATACTATTTCACAACCTGTATTATTACAATGCTCTGCGACTACTGAATTTACATAATTTCTCTTGATTGCATTTATTCTTATTTTTAATTTCCTTTTTGTTTCTCCTATATATATTTTTTCTGGTTTACAGCTACAATTAAATGAATATACAACTCCTTTTTCTTCTAATTTATCGTAATTTCCTTGATTTCTATAACATAAATGGTTTTTTGTTGTATTTACTTTTTCTGGTATTAGATTGATTCTACTATTTAATATTTTCTTAATTCTTTCAAATATCTTAGGGATATACCTTATTAAAATGTAGTATCCGATATACCTTATTAAAATAAGGTATATAGGAAACTTTAGGGATATACCTTATTAAAATAAGGTATATCCCTAAAGTTTCCACATCTGGTCTCGGATTTCATATAACTCCATTCTCGAGATTAAGACATACGGACGAACGACAGTGGGAATTTATGAATCTACAATGACAAAATTTGGAAATAAATGTTGCATTAATTTATTAAGATGTTTGATATATATCTCCAAATCACGGTCGGAAATCTTTTCATTTTCTTTTAGTACTCGCAAGTTTGAAAAATATTTAAAATCGGATCGTGCCAGTGAAGATTTAAATAGCTCCACTTTTACTTGAAAGGTCATTTTTTCTTGCAAACGCTTTTGCACTATATTAATGATTTTCGATATATTACGATATTTTCTCTGTAAAGGACAAAATATCTACATTTAGGTATAAAATACTTAGCGTGACAACCCTACTAGAGTGTAACTGCAACGTATGTCTGTGTATAATGAACTACCAGCGTTCATAACATGTTTGCAACACTAGTACAGTTGCCAGATGCGTGAAAACAGAGTAACACATGCTTAAAGCGGCGTAGGCTAAGGCAAAAACTCAAGTTATAACTAGGGTAGTCAGTAATGTCCGTATTTCGAATTTTTATTGGAATATTCTATTTTTTTCCTAGACAATTTAATTGATCATCTTTGGTATTAATCGACCCCTGGAGAACTCTTATCGACCCCTTGGGGTCGATATCGACCACTTTGGGGACCCCTAACCTAGACCAACCGCACCATTCACGAATTTAAACTACGTTATGTTTCGCTCCGAGGGACATGCTTCTTCTAATGAGTTTCCTTATATGCTGAATTCAAAGCTTTCTAATCACATATAACGTTTTTAAGTAGATTCACACTTTAGATGAAAACTGTAAAGTGATTTATGATAATAGAAATACAAAAATCACTAATGCAATTTTGTTTTCAATAAGCACAAGAAATAAAATCACTTATTATAGAACTGCCTGGACACGCACAAAACACAGGAACACTTGTTTGTAAGCTAGTCCTGTCGATGAGTTTCTAAAGGAGCTCTGGGGATGATCAGGATGGTTCGCGAAAGAATTGAACTCAGCGTAGAGGAGAGGGGAGGGATGGAAGAAATACACAATACATTTTTCAAGTGAAAGGTTTCAAATATAAATGCATTAAAATAATATTTAGACGGTGCTTCAAGGAATTTAGAGGATTAGCCTAGTGCCCTTAGTCCATTCTCGGCATGCCACTGCTAGAAAAGATTATTTTATTGGACATAACTGTTTCAATAAAGGCGGATAACACAAAACGAGACATGCGTTTAGAAGTAGGAATGAATAATCACGGTAATTATACATTTAGACGCAAATTTAAAATTTTATATCGTTCTTTAAGATTAACGTTAAATATTTTCTATAATTAAATCAATAACGACGAATGGCGACACAACACGTAATTAGGTTCAATTAGAGTATTTTTTTCGATGAATTCCGAAAGATTATATATATATATTGATATTTAATATATTTTATCTACATAAATAATTTAATTAATATTAGTTTCATAACAATAATCAATAACGGCTTATCTTGTTAACCTCGAGTTTTATCGATCGGTGACGTAAGGGGGAGAAAACAAAATGGCGGCCACTACGGCAAACTGTAGTCCTCTGTTGATGCGATTACTTTCGGCATCTGTTGCGGTTGCTAACAGAGCTGGCAAGATAATTAGGGATATTATGAGTCGTGGAGACTTGGGTATCGTAGAAAAGGGTGTTAACGATCTCCAGACGGAAGCCGATCGCTCCGTACAGAGATGCATCGTAACTTCCCTCTCGAGACAATTTCCAAAAGTATCGATTATTGGTGAAGAGGTGTTGGATCCTCAAGAAACACTTGATGAAGAATGGGTCGTCAGCACCCTGGATAAAGACGTATTAACTATTAAATGTCCCCAAGATCTACAGGCTGTGAAGGAAGAGGATGTAGTTGTCTGGGTTGATCCTCTGGATGGAACATCAGAGTACACTCAAGGACTGCTAGACCACGTGACAATCCTCATAGGAGTAGCAGTTAATGGAAAGGCAGTGGGCGGAGTCATTCACCAACCATATTACAACTACCAGATCGAAAAGGATCCCACCAAACTGGGTCGCACCATGTGGGGAGTGTTGGGAGTCGGTGCCTTTGGAATCGAGCGCAAGGATCCTCCGGAGGGAAACGTCATCACCACCACCCGGTCTCATTCTAACGCGGCCATTAATTCCTGTCTGGAAGCACTCAAACCGGACAATATCCTCAGAGTGGGGGGAGCGGGACACAAGGTGATTCTTCTCATCGAAGGAAAGGCTCACGCTTACGTCTTTCCCAGTCCGGGATGCAAGAAGTGGGACACTTGCGCTCCGGAAGCCCTGCTGCACGCCATCGGCGGAAAGCTGACAGACGTCCACGGCAACCCTTTCGAGTATCACGGTAAAGTCGAGCATGTCAACTCGGGAGGCGTCTTGGCCACCTGCAGTGCCGGTATCCACGAATGGTATCGCTCCCGCATCCCTGAGGATGTAAGAAATTCTCTATCTCCTTAAAACAGAGTTTTTTACATTTAAATAATGCTGGTTTCCAAAATCAAAGCATAAGGAATGATAATTTTGGGTTATAATCTTTACAATACTGATAAAGTTTTATACAGTATATTAAACGCATTAATATAATAATTCCAATTGTAATCTTTACATTTCTCTTACACTTGATACCTGAATATTTGATTTTTATATCGCCATATCTCGTATTAGCTACATTACGATGCTTGATCAAATTTAATACGTGGCATTTTATAACTTTCTACCAGGCAGTCAGCAAAAAACTTGCCCAGTGATGGCACGAGACCGACTATCACCCTGCAATGCTTCACATAAGACAGTAAATGCCAAAGATTTAAGGAATGATGTTCAAAACTCCTCGCCGGCATTGCCAAGTCGGATTCTTCTGGGTACATTTTCATTTATCGGGCAATTGGAAACAACGCATTGTTTTAATTTTGGAAATCACAATTTTGTATTCAAATGTTTGTAATTGTAAATTTTGTAAAATAATCATTACCAAAATTTTCTTTTGTAAATAACGAATTATTCTAATACGTATTTTTATACGTACAAACAAAATTAATTGCGTATGTTGCAAATTTATTAAAGGCCCGTGAACACAGTCTAAAAGAAACAATTTCACCTTAGAGATAAATTTTTTGTGTATTTTTTTTAATAATTGTCATGTAGAAAAAAAAACAAAGTAGGAACTTACGCATGTTTTTATACGCAAATTTTATATTAGAGACGATTGTTTATAAACTAACCGACTACTAAAAAACTATTTTGTAAATGCCATGTCGATATTTAATGACTGATGATGAATATGTTGTACTTTATAGGTGTACGTCAAGTTGAACCCGGGGAGGTTCGTTCCCTACTTTTTTAGGTATTGAGCCAATTACCATTCGAAGATGTTTGAATTTAGATATTAATTATTAGTGTATTGTTATACATAATGTAAACGATGACGATATGATATTTTTGTATAAAATATTCAGTAGGATCAGAAATCTGTATTTTTTAATATTAAAAATGTTAATAAAAGTGTAAAAATGAGTTTTCTTCTAAATTTTAAATTGATCGCATACAGTACTGTACGTCTTTGTTCTTATGATTTCATTTGTTGCAGAAAAACTGGCATATTAAGGTTAACATAAAAATTAAATGTTGGGTGTTAACAAAAATACATGTTGTACTTGTTTATTGCAGATGAATTCTCTAGATGCACCTGTCAAGTGGCATGGTCGACGAGGCACATGTTATGGAGTGCCTAGTCTCGAGTTACGAGTAGCAACATGAATGTTATCACATGATGCTACTTGTAGATCTTGTCAAGTAAAACTCATAAACTACATGCATCTGAAATTTGATACTAGGTTCTGACAATGGCAACGTGAAGATATATTATAATATAACGTTTCAAATAGTAGCTGTTCAGTTCGAGATGATTGAACAAAAGTAGAACTTGAGAGGAGTTTGGCAACACCATAAATCTATGATGCAATAGGTGTGGCCAACTCTTGCCAAATTCTATTTGGGGTTTTCTAGCTGTAGTAATGGGTATTACTACAGCTAGAGCAGCGGTTCTTAACCTGTGGTGTGAGAGAAATTTCAAAAATTAAAAAAAATAAACAAACAAGGCGACCATGTTCTCCACAAACTGTGGTACCCAGCAACACGGCACCCCCACTTCTATACTCTCTACTCCACAGTCTCTCAGCACATAGCTCTTATCAGCAGTTAATGTAATCACATTGTCACGTGCAGTACAGAAACTAGTTGAGACATGTTTGCATTCCTTGAATACAGCACTTTTGCACATCAAAACAAAAGCCAGAAATTGCTGAAATGCATCTGATGACTTGTGTGTGGCTCTTTCAAAAAAAGAGCCTCGTTTTAATAGAATTATTATGAATAAACAACAACCACCTAGCCATTAAAATTTAAATATTGATTTTTATGTTATATAGTAATATATTGTAAATAAACACGACATTTGTTTACGCAATAAATGTTTTTTCTTAAAAAAAAATATACACACATTTTTTAAGGGGGTGCAAGAGCTTATTTTCAGATTCAAGGGGGTGCTGACCACTAAAAAGGTTAAGAACTGCTGAGCTAGAATAATAGATAGATGGCAAACACAGTATAGTGTGTTCTTACACACTATACTGTGTACTGTACACAATAACATTAACTACATTTGTATTAGTGTTACAAATTTTTCCAAGGATGAAAAAATTCACACAATCTATATTAAAAGATATTTAATTATCATTCAATATCAACATATATTAAATTTTATGGCAATATTATACATAATAAAGATATTTCTTAAAAAAAAAAAAAAAGGCTAATGCAATATTTTTAACAGACATTAACACAAAATATATTGTTGACTACTGTTAGAAATAAACAAAATTTATAAAAAAGGCACTAGATTATAACTTTAACGCCCTAAACACTTATGCCCGAGTTGCAAACAATAATGGCACTTTCATAAATTTCGAAGCCTTGCTTGGCTTCAAAGAGAAACAAATGAAGCAAAATAGATTCTGAATATAATAGTCTGAAGATGATTAACAATTATCTATCACAGAAATGATTTTTTTTAACAAAATGTCAATAAAAACATTTCAAATAATTACATTACAATAATTTTTCTCTAAGATTTTCCGTAAAAATCTCTCATTTTGACCGAATGAACCGCACCAGTTTATATTTTACATACACTTTCTGAAGAAAACAATGTGATATTAAGAAAAAAAAAGACACTTAATTACCATGAAGTGATGCAAATAACTGATGTTCAGACTGATTAACATGCGGAAAAGTGCGCGAGTAAAAAAAAATGTGCTGTGACAAAAATTATCTCAAAACTGAATATGAAAAGGGTAGACAATCAATTTGCACCTGTGAAATGATAACGACGTGAAATCTTTCTATAAACAATGAAAACATAACAATCTAAAAATAATATATCTTCAGATATTTAAATCTGAACTGAATAATGTAAGTATATATAGTGGCAAATAAATATATTAATAAAATCTGATATATTTTAGTAAGCACCTTATGAATATTTTGATTATGTTTTTTACATTGTTCATGTACAAAAATGAATAATTACAAGTTCCAACGATAATGTTATTAACTGTCTTTTGCATTTCTCACAGGCGAATGCTGCCTGCTAGAGTTCGGAGAGTGAAGAGGAGTCGTAACCAGAAAATTTGCACTGACCACTATGGGAAATGGACAGTCTTTGTCGAGATTCAATACTTTCACTTCCTAAATTTATAAAAATTTTAAATTTTAGTTAATTAATGAAAGTTTAAAAGGAGATTATGCAAAAAATAAATCTTTACTTCATTTTTGGCAAGAGTCAAAGTTTTCAAATTGGTTGTAGCCGTGTAAGTGGCATGGCCTTGTTTATCCAGAGAATAAATCGTTAAACGGTACATCAGATGACGCCTGCATGGCTGGATAGAAGGAATATACCGTTCGGAATCGTTCCTCTGGTTACGACGAAATCGTACACACCTGTAGAAGTAAGTGTTAAAAAGAAGAAAAACTGGAAAATGAAACAATTTAAACATACCTCATGTGATATGTTACCACCAAATCTAGTCCGAAATTAAATCCTGTCCATCTCCAGATATGCTGTGGCATCATAAAGAAATGTATTTAAGTTTTTTTATGATTAGACACAAATCATTATTAGTAAATAAATCTAAGAGGAGACATAATTAAACTTTATTCATGTATACCTGTCCATCCGAAATTAATTTTCTGGCACACCTCAGACACTGTGAATCAAATTCTTCCTGAGCTATTTGTTTGGGTCTGAAATTAAAAACATTTTTTTTAATCAATTTATAACTATTTATTTGGATACTTTGACATTTACGATTCAAAACACAAATTGATTTGAAGTTAGGTTTCATGTACTGTACATGAAGCACATTTATATAGATTAAAACTTTCTGTACACAAAAATCTTGTAAAAAATTTAATGTGGAATTATTATTTATCTTTTATCTAAAACAAACTTGTACTACTTATTTTTATTATAATAACTTCCATTTGAAAACTATTTGGTCCAAGCAAGCTGGATGCTCACTATGCACTTACAGGCCTACAACCGAGTATATAAATTGGTATGACAGCCTCTGTAAATTTGTGAACTACAGTATAATAGAATGTACAGACATCAAGGCTAATGTCAGATAAACATCAAAACAGAGAGGTGCTACTTTTTGATTCATAGATGTGAAAATTCATGGTCATGAAGTTGGTTGTCAGACGAGCACTATATTCTATGGTGTGCATTATTAATCATTTTTATTTCAGATGTCAAAATGGATCTTATAGATTGTGATGCACTGCTGTTTTATTACGTACATACGTATTTAAAAACAAAAAAACAGGTGTAGGTAATTGCTCATTTTGTTGTAGAGCTATAGGCTACTTCCTGTTTAAATATCTACATTGCAGTAGTTTGGTATCTGCACTGCAGTATTTTCAGTTTTTGCTGTTTTTGGCATCGTCGCTCTTGTTTTTGTGATTTTGCATTAGTTAGTTCTAGATGGACAGTTCTTCTGGTTCTGGGGCTGTAGGATTGGGTCCACACATCTCGACAGTATGCATAAAATTACGGGAGCTTCTGGACATAATTTTGGCCAACTGTCCAGAAGGCAACAGCACTCTTATACACAAGAAACATAGATCTAAACTTTGTGAAGCTGCCAACCGTAATTTTGGTTTAGCTAATGAAATTATCTTTCTCTCTAGCCACTCTGATAGTGATGTTGATACGTTGAATAAACTAATTTGTAACACATTTGTAATTTGTAACAGAAATCTCTTTCAGACACTGTTAGTAAATTGGAAAAGGAGTTTCTGAGTGAGTTGACTCTATGATGACAAGAAAATAAATAAACTGATTGACACTACAAAAAACGCTTCTAGTCAAATTAGTCTGTCAACCCCTTCTTATGCAAGTATCACTAGGGCTGCCATGACATTTGGCAAACAATTTACAAACAGCTACAGGACATCAGTTTATGAGCAACTACAGTATGCATTCTTTTAATTGCATGGCACATCATGATCCACAGAACCTGGTGTGCTGAAGGCATTTCAGCACACCAGCCATCGGTATTGACGAGTCCCATTACAGCCTAGAAACTAATAGTTGATGAGTGTATATATCTGGCAAGCTCCAGGAACATGTTATAATTCTGCCCACATCATTGAATGTCATCAGTCTGAAGGCAGAGAAGCCTTTATTTGGGTTGGTATCATGTTAAGGTCACGTATGTCACTGCATGTATTCAAATGTGGTACTGTAACGGGCCAGATTTATAGGTATGTCATCCTGTAGCAGTATATGCAACATTTTAGAGATGCATTTGATCCTGGGTTCATTTTAATGGATGATAATGCTCACCCTCACAGGTCTGGCTTGGTTTAGGAATGCCTGGAAATTGATATAAGGTGTCTGGACTGGTCACCTTATTCAACAGACTTAAACCTCATAGAATATAATGGTATGCCCCTGGACACAGCATTGTAACACAGACTACTGCAGAGCTCCAAAGAATACTTGTGCAAGAGTGGGATTCATTATCCCAGAAACTGCTGGACAGCATTATAAACAGTATGCCAAACTGCTGTGTAGTATGTATTGCTGTTTTTGGCAATCATACACACTACAGTCGAACCCCCTATAACACTGTTGATTTTTCCATTTTATATGAATTCCATGTTGTACGAGTCACTTAGATNTGATTTCTATAACATAAATGGTTTTTTGTTGTATTTACTTTTTCTGGTATTAGATTGATTCTACTATTTAATATTTTCTTAATTCTTTCAAATATCTTAGGGATATACCTTATTAAAATATAGTATCCGATATACCTTATTAAAATAAGGTATATAGGAAACTTTAGGGATATATAAGGTATATCCCTAAAGTTTCCATATCTGGTCTCGGATTTCATATAACTCCATTCTCGAGATTAAGACATACGGACGAACGACAGTGGGAATTTATGAGTCTACAATGACAAAATTTGGAAATAAATGTTGCATTAATTTATTAAGATGTTTGATATATATCTCCAAATCACGGTCGGAAATTTTTTCATTTTCTTTTAGTACTCGCAAGTTTGAAAAATATTTAAAATCGGATCGTGCCAGTGAAGATTTAAATAGCTCCACTTTTACTTGAAAGGTCATTTTTTCTTGCAAACGCTTTTGCACTATATTAATGATTTTCGATATATTACGATATTTTCTCTGTAAAGGACAAAATATCTACATTTAGGTATAAAATACTTAGCGTGACAACCCTACTAGAGTGTAACTGCAACGTATGTCTGTGTATAATGAACTACCAGCGTTCATAACATGTTTGCAACACTAGTACAGTTGCCAGATGCGTGAAAACAGAGTAACACATGCTTAAAGCGGCGTAGGCTAAGGCAAAAACTCAAGTTATAACTAGGGTAGTCAGTAATGTCCGTATTTCGAATTTTTATTGGAATATTCTATTTTTTTCCTAGACAATTTAATTGATCATCTTTGGTATTAATCGACCCCTGGAGAACTCTTATCGACCACTTTGGGGACCCCTAACCTAGACCAACCGCACCATTCACGAATTTAAACTACGTTATGTTTCGCTCCGAGGGACATGCTTCTTCTAATGAGTTTCCTTATATGCTGAATTCAAAGCTTTCTAATCACATATAACGTTTTTAAGTAGATTCACACTTTAGATGAAAACTGTAAAGTGATTTATGATAATAGAAATACAAAAATCACTAATGCAATTTTGTTTTCAATAAGCACAAGAAATAAAATCACTTATTATAGAACTGCCTGGACACGCACAAAACACAGGAACACTTGTTTGTAAGCTAGTCCTGTCGATGAGTTTCTAAAGGAGCTCTGGGGATGATCAGGATGGTTCGCGAAAGAATTGAACTCAGCGTAGAGGAGAGGGGAGGGATGGAAGAAATACACAATACATTTTTCAAGTGAAAGGTTTCAAATATAAATGCATTAAAATAATATTTAGACGGTGCTTCAAGGAATTTAGAGGATTAGCCTAGTGCCCTTAGTCCATTCTCGGCATGCCACTGCTAGAAAAGATTATTTTATTGGACATAACTGTTTTAATAAAGGCGGATAACACAAAACGAGACATGCGTTTAGAAGTAGGAATGAATAATCACGGTAATTATACATTTAGACGCAAATTTAAAATTTTATATCGTTCTTTAAGATTAACGTTAAATATTTTCTATAATTAAATCAATAACGACGAATGGCGACACAACACGTAATTAGGTTCAATTAGAGTATTTTTTTCGATGAATTCCGAAAGATTATATATATATATTGATATTTAATATATTTTATCTACATAAATAATTTAATTAATATTAGTTTCATAACAATAATCAATAACGGCTTATCTTGTTAACCTCGAGTTTTATCGATCGGTGACGTAAGGGGGAGAAAACAAAATGGCGGCCACTACGGCAAACTGTAGTCCTCTGTTGATGCGATTACTTTCGGCATCTGTTGCGGTTGCTAACAGAGCTGGCAAGATAATTAGGGATATTATGAGTCGTGGAGACTTGGGTATCGTAGAAAAGGGTGTTAACGATCTCCAGACGGAAGCCGATCGCTCCGTACAGAGATGCATCGTAACTTCCCTCTCGAGACAATTTCCAAAAGTATCGATTATTGGTGAAGAGGTGTTGGATCCTCAAGAAACACTTGATGAAGAATGGGTCGTCAGCACCCTGGATAAAGACGTATTAACTATTAAATGTCCCCAAGATCTACAGGCTGTGAAGGAAGAGGATGTAGTTGTCTGGGTTGATCCTCTGGATGGAACATCAGAGTACACTCAAGGACTGCTAGACCACGTGACAATCCTCATAGGAGTAGCAGTTAATGGAAAGGCAGTGGGCGGAGTCATTCACCAACCATATTACAACTACCAGATCGAAAAGGATCCCACCAAACTGGGTCGCACCATGTGGGGAGTGTTGGGAGTCGGTGCCTTTGGAATCGAGCGCAAGGATCCTCCGGAGGGAAACGTCATCACCACCACCCGGTCTCATTCTAACGCGGCCATTAATTCCTGTCTGGAAGCACTCAAACCGGACAATATCCTCAGAGTGGGGGGAGCGGGACACAAGGTGATTCTTCTCATCGAAGGAAAGGCTCACGCTTACGTCTTTCCCAGTCCGGGATGCAAGAAGTGGGACACTTGCGCTCCGGAAGCCCTGCTGCACGCCATCGGCGGAAAGCTGACAGACGTCCACGGCAACCCTTTCGAGTATCACGGTAAAGTCGAGCATGTCAACTCGGGAGGCGTCTTGGCCACCTGCAGTGCCGGTATCCACGAATGGTATCGCTCCCGCATCCCTGAGGATGTAAGAAATTCTCTATCTCCTTAAAACAGAGTTTTTTACATTTAAATAATGCTGGTTTCCAAAATCAAAGCATAAGGAATGATAATTTTGGGTTATAATCTTTACAATACTGATAAAGTTTTATACAGTATATTAAACGCATTAATATAATAATTCCAATTGTAATCTTTACATTCCTCTTACACTTGATACCTGAATATTTGATTTTTATATCGCCATATCTCGTATTAGCTACATTACGATGCTTGATCAAATTTAATACGTGGCATTTTATAACTTTCAACCAGGCAGTCAGCAAAAAACTTGCCCAGTGATGGCACGAGACCGACTATCACCCTGCAATGCTTCACATAAGACACTTAAATCCACAGTAAATGCCAAAGATTTAAGGAATGATGTTCAAAACTCCTCGCCGGCATTGCCAAGTCGGATTCTTCTGGGTACATTTTCATTTATCGGGCAATTGGAAACAACGCATTGTTTTAATTTTGGAAATCACAATTTTGTATTCAAATGTTTGTAATTGTAAATTTTGTAAAATAATCATTACCAAAATTTTCTTTTGTAAATAACGAATTATTCTAATACGTATTTTTATACGTACAAACAAAATTAATTGCGTATGTTGCAAATTTATTAAAGGCCCGTGAACACAGTCTAAAAGAAACAATTTCACCTTAGAGATAAATTTTTTGTGTATTTTTTTTAATAATTGTCATGTAGAAAAAAAAACAAAGTAGGAACTTACGCATGTTTTTATACGCAAATTTTATATTAGAGACGATTGTTTATAAACTAACCGACTACTAAAAAACTATTTTGTAAATGCCATGTCGATATTTAATGACTGATGATGAATATGTTGTACTTTATAGGTGTACGTCAAGTTGAACCCGGGGAGGTTCGTTCCCTACTTTTTTAGGTATTGAGCCAATTACCATTCGAAGATGTTTGAATTTAGATATTAATTATTAGTGTATTGTTATACATAATGTAAACGATGACGATATGATATTTTTGTATAAAATATTCAGTAGGATCAGAAATCTGTATTTTTTAATATTAAAAATGTTAATAAAAGTGTAAAAATGAGTTTTCTTCTAAATTTTAAATTGATCGCATACAGTACTGTACGTCTTTGTTCTTATGATTTCATTTGTTGCAGAAAAACTGGCATATTAAGGTTAACATAAAAATTAAATGTTGGGTGTTAACAAAAATACATGTTGTACTTGTTTATTGCAGATGAATTCTCTAGATGCACCTGTCAAGTGGCATGGTCGACGAGGCACATGTTATGGAGTGCCTAGTCTCGAGTTACGAGTAGCAACATGAATGTTATCACATGATGCTACTTGTAGATCTTGTCAAGTAAAACTCATAAACTACATGCATCTGAAATTTGATACTAGGTTCTGACAATGGCAACGTGAAGATATATTATAATATAACGTTTCAAATAGTAGCTGTTCAGTTCGAGATGATTGAACAAAAGTAGAACTTGAGAGGAGTTTGGCAACACCATAAATCTATGATGCAATAGGTGTGGCCAACCCTTGCCAAATTCTATTTGGGGTTTTCTAGCTGTAGTAATGGGTATTACTACAGCTAGAGCAGCGGTTCTTAACCTGTGGTGTGAGAGAAATTTCAAAAATTAAAAAAAATAAACAAACAAGGCGACCATGTTCTCCACAAACTGTGGTACCCAGCAACACGGCACCCCCACTTCTATACTCTCTACTCCACAGTCTCTCAGCACATAGCTCTTATCAGCAGTTAATGTAATCACATTGTCACGTGCAGTACAGAAACTAGTTGAGACATGTTTGCATTCCTTGAATACAGCACTTTTGCACATCAAAACAAAAGCCAGAAATTGCTGAAATGCATCTGATGACTTGTGTGTGGCTCTTTCAAAAAAAGAGCCTCGTTTTAATAGAATTATTATGAATAAACAACAACCACCTAGCCATTAAAATTTAAATATTGATTTTTATGTTATATAGTAATATATTGTAAATAAACACGACATTTGTTTACGCAATAAATGTTTTTTCTTAAAAAAAAATATACACACATTTTTTAAGGGGGTGCAAGAGCTTATTTTCAGATTCAAGGGGGTGCTGACCACTAAAAAGGTTAAGAACTGCTGAGCTAGAATAATAGATAGATGGCAAACACAGTATAGTGTGTTCTTACACACTATACTGTGTACTGTACACAATAACATTAACTACATTTGTATTAGTGTTACAAATTTTTCCAAGGATGAAAAAATTCACACAATCTATATTAAAAGATATTTAATTATCATTCAATATCAACATATATTAAATTTTATGGCAATATTATACATAATAAAGATATTTCTTAAAAAAAAAAAAAAAGGCTAATGCAATATTTTTAACAGACATTAACACAAAATATATTGTTGACTACTGTTAGAAATAAACAAAATTTATAAAAAAGGCACTAGATTATAACTTTAACGCCCTAAACACTTATGCCCGAGTTGCAAACAATAATGGCACTTTCATAAATTTCGAAGCCTTGCTTGGCTTCAAAGAGAAACAAATGAAGCAAAATAGATTCTGAATATAATAGTCTGAAGATGATTAACAATTATCTATCACAGAAATGATTTTTTTTAACAAAATGTCAATAAAAACATTTCAAATAATTACATTACAATAATTTTTCTCTAAGATTTTCCGTAAAAATCTCTCATTTTGACCGAATGAACCGCACCAGTTTATATTTTACATACACTTTCTGAAGAAAACAATGTGATATTAAGAAAAAAAAAGACACTTAATTACCATGAAGTGATGCAAATAACTGATGTTCAGACTGATTAACATGCGGAAAAGTGCGCGAGTAAAAAAAAATGTGCTGTGACAAAAATTATCTCAAAACTGAATATGAAAAGGGTAGACAATCAATTTGCACCTGTGAAATGATAACGACGTGAAATCTTTCTATAAACAATGAAAACATAACAATCTAAAAATAATATATCTTCAGATATTTAAATCTGAACTGAATAATGTAAGTATATATAGTGGCAAATAAATATATTAATAAAATCTGATATATTTTAGTAAGCACCTTATGAATATTTTGATTATGTTTTTTACATTGTTCATGTACAAAAATGAATAATTACAAGTTCCAACGATAATGTTATTAACTGTCTTTTGCATTTCTCACAGGCGAATGCTGCCTGCTAGAGTTCGGAGAGTGAAGAGGAGTCGTAACCAGAAAATTTGCACTGACCACTATGGGAAATGGACAGTCTTTGTCGAGATTCAATACTTTCACTTCCTAAATTTATAAAAATTTTAAATTTTAGTTAATTAATGAAAGTTTAAAAGGAGATTATGCAAAAAATAAATCTTTACTTCATTTTTGGCAAGAGTCAAAGTTTTCAAATTGGTTGTAGCCGTGTAAGTGGCATGGCCTTGTTTATCCAGAGAATAAATCGTTAAACGGTACATCAGATGACGCCTGCATGGCTGGATAGAAGGAATATACCGTTCGGAATCGTTCCTCTGGTTACGACGAAATCGTACACACCTGTAGAAGTAAGTGTTAAAAAGAAGAAAAACTGGAAAATGAAACAATTTAAACATACCTCATGTGATATGTTACCACCAAATCTAGTCCGAAATTAAATCCTGTCCATCTCCAGATATGCTGTGGCATCATAAAGAAATGTATTTAAGTTTTTTTATGATTAGACACAAATCATTATTAGTAAATAAATCTAAGAGGAGACATAATTAAACTTTATTCATGTATACCTGTCCATCCGAAATTAATTTTCTGGCACACCTCAGACACTGTGAATCAAATTCTTCCTGAGCTATTTGTTTGGGTCTGAAATTAAAAACATTTTTTTTAATCAATTTATAACTATTTATTTGGATACTTTGACATTTACGATTCAAAACACAAATTGATTTGAAGTTAGGTTTCATGTACTGTACATGAAGCACATTTATATAGATTAAAACTTTCTGTACACAAAAATCTTGTAAAAAATTTAATGTGGAATTATTATTTATCTTTTATCTAAAACAAACTTGTACTACTTATTTTTATTATAATAACTTCCATTTGAAAACTATTTGGTCCAAGCAAGCTGGATGCTCACTATGCACTTACAGGCCTACAACCGAGTATATAAATTGGTATGACAGCCTCTGTAAATTTGTGAACTACAGTATAATAGAATGTACAGACATCAAGGCTAATGTCAGATAAACATCAAAACAGAGAGGTGCTACTTTTTGATTCATAGATGTGAAAATTCATGGTCATGAAGTTGGTTGTCAGACGAGCACTATATTCTATGGTGTGCATTATTAATCATTTTTATTTCAGATGTCAAAATGGATCTTATAGATTGTGATGCACTGCTGTTTTATTACGTACATACGTATTTAAAAACAAAAAAACAGGTGTAGGTAATTGCTCATTTTGTTGTAGAGCTATAGGCTACTTCCTGTTTAAATATCTACATTGCAGTAGTTTGGTATCTGCACTGCAGTATTTTCAGTTTTTGCTGTTTTTGGCATCGTCGCTCTTGTTTTTGTGATTTTGCATTAGTTAGTTCTAGATGGACAGTTCTTCTGGTTCTGGGGCTGTAGGATTGGGTCAACACATCTCGACAGTATGCATAAAATTACGGGAGCTTCTGGACATAATTTTGGCCAACTGTCCAGAAGGCAACAGCACTCTTATACACAAGAAACATAGATCTAAACTTTGTGAAGCTGCCAACCGTAATTTTGGTTTAGCTAATGAAATTATCTTTCTCTCTAGCCACTCTGATAGTGATGTTGATACGTTGAATAAACTAATTTGTAACACATTTGTAATTTGTAACAGAAATCTCTTTCAGACACTGTTAGTAAATTGGAAAAGGAGTTTCTGAGTGAGTTGACTCTATGATGACAAGAAAATAAATAAACTGATTGACACTACAAAAAACGCTTCTAGTCAAATTAGTCTGTCAACCCCTTCTTATGCAAGTATCACTAGGGCTGCCATGACATTTGGCAAACAATTTACAAACAGCTACAGGACATCAGTTTATGAGCAACTACAGTATGCATTCTTTTAATTGCATGGCACATCATGATCCACAGAACCTGGTGTGCTGAAGGCATTTCAGCACACCAGCCATCGGTATTGACGAGTCCCATTACAGCCTAGAAACTAATAGTTGATGAGTGTATATATCTGGCAAGCTCCAGGAACATGTTATAATTCTGCCCACATCATTGAATGTCATCAGTCTGAAGGCAGAGAAGCCTTTATTTGGGTTGGTATCATGTTAAGGTCACGTATGTCACTGCATGTATTCAAATGTGGTACTGTAACGGGCCAGATTTATAGGTATGTCATCCTGTAGCAGTATATGCAACATTTTAGAGATGCATTTGATCCTGGGTTCATTTTAATGGATGATAATGCTCACCCTCACAGATCTGGCTTGGTTTAGGAATGCCTGGAAATTGATATAAGGTGTCTGGACTGGTCACCTTATTCAACAGACTTAAACCTCATAGAATATAATGGTATGCCCCTGGACACAGCATTGTAACACAGACTACTGCAGAGCTCCAAAGAATACTTGTGCAAGAGTGGGATTCATTATCCCAGAAACTGCTGGACAGCATTATAAACAGTATGCCAAACTGCTGTGTAGTATGTATTGCTGTTTTTGGCAATCATACACACTACAGTCGAACCCCCTATAACACTGTTGATTTTTCCATTTTATATGAATTCCATGTTGTACGAGTCACTTAGATTTTACAAATACGTGAGCTGTTCACAGCCTGGCACACGTATTTGTAAAATCTAAGTGACTTGTACAACATCGTACAAAATTCATATAAAATGGAAAAATCAACAGTGTTATAGGAGGGTCAACTGTATTAAGCTTCAGACCATGGTATCACATCACAGCACAAGCAGTATCATATGGGACAGCTCATGTCCATTTCATTTTTTCCTTTTTCCAATGGATTGAGTGAATCCAAACTTCTTTTCTCGCTGAAGTTTGTCTTCCTGTCATATGTTTATAAGATAGGAAGACAAAGTTTGTCACCTTCTTGAAATGTGTTTCTCACAGCTGAATGAGCTATAACCACCCCATACAGCAAATTCCTTAATATACAAATGTTGCTTGAAGAATCCCATAGCCACATTGATAATAGTTTAGAATGAAATGTGATTTTAAGCATATGAACATTGTTTTTCAGCTAATTATGTGTATCATTAATTTTATTTACATTAATTAGAAGAAATTAAATTTTAAATATATATACAAACCCCCTGTCAACACCTTGATCCACACGCAACATGGTATACCACTGAGTTTTAAAAACAGGAAGAAACCAACCTACAGAAATATTTTTATGAATTTATTAAGTAAAAAATCATTAACATCCCTAAAAAATAAATAATTTACTTTTAGGCACAATTTGATCACTGTCCAGCAATTCTACATCAAGATGATGATTCACCAAATGCTGAGATCTTAAGGCACGAAATGCAGGTAAATAAGGTTCACCACTTTCTGTCTCTAAGAAACTTTTTCCCCTTTCTTTTGTAAATAGTAATTTTGATGAAGCTGTAAGCAAAGTATTAAAAATTATTAAATAAAAATAAATAAATACTATATAAAATTTTTGAGAATTTCATATAAAGTGTCTCTCAGAATAAATATACAATTTAAAACTTAAATGCCAAATTTTTCAAATATTAATGAAATTTTATATTAATTATATATACATTAAATATCAATGTTAAAGAAGTAATAAATAAGTTATAATAATGGAGTAAACATATGTGAATTTTAAGTTTTAAAAATTACATCATCAAGATGTTGTCCATCTTGGTAACAGCACTCCTTCAATCTATCCTTCATATTCCCTGTGACCCTCTGAATAGTTTTCCAGGATACTGTTTATTTTGCCTCTAATTTTTTGTTTTAATTGAATATTGTTTAGTAGTCTATGTAAACTTTGCTCTTAAGATAACCCCAGAAAAAATAATCAGTAAGGATAAGGTCAGGTAATCTTGGAGGCCAGGGTATGTCATCAAACTCTGTACACAGAGAAAATTCTCAAATAGTACTCATTGAGACTCTAAGCTGTATGTTGTTGCTCTCTCTTGCTGAAACCAGATATTCACATTATGGGCAGAATACAGATGAAACTTTAGTTTGAAAAATTTTTTATTATTTCATAGTTCTTGTATTGTTGACAGTGACCTCGACCAGCCTCAAATAAATATGGACCAATAATTTCTGTCATAGACATCATACACAATTCTAAAGTGACTTTAGAATGTCAAGTTCGATCCAATGTCATACACAATTCTAAAGTGACTTTAGAATTGTGTATGACATTGGATCGAACTTGACATTAGATCAAACTTGGCAAGCGTTTTTGTGTCTGGGGGACCACTTGAAACATGTCATACGCTTCATAGCAACATCACCGTAAGCCGTGTTGAGCATAGCAAATGTTTTGGTCGCAAATTTTCCAGGTTTAACACAAAATTTCACAGCAAGTTGTTGCTCCATCAGGTCATTCATTCTGAAATCCGACAAATGAAAAAAAATCACACTTCACTAAAAACCACGTAGCTAATCAACAAATAAAGATATCTGTAATCAGGAAACAGTTTTATCACCAGACGATCTGTACAAACCTAGCGACATCAAGCAGATTCCCCTGAAACCAACTGGAGCCGCGCAATTCAAACAGTCCATGTATTTTTGAACAGACTTCGTAGAAACATTCCTGCCAAACTTTAAAATTTTTGGCCCATGAGATCCTGATATATAAAGTAAAATACATAACTTACATATAGAATTCTGTTCTGTGTTTTTGGAATTGAGAAATGCAAAATTCTCAATAAGTCAAATTTTGCCTGATTATGATACCTCTTTTCACCATGTGGACATTAGGTGGGCCTTTATAATCATAATCATAATCATAACAGTGTCAATGAAAGATTCTTGGATTCTTTTGATGATATCGATATGATCCTGGTTTCCCAGAGTAATAATAGACAAGTAATTCTCAACCTTTTTTTCGTCATGGTACACTTTTAACTAAAAATTTGGCTGCACATACGGTTACTTCAGTAAGTACCACAGGAGAAATGGTGATGTCATAACTGATTCTTAAATGCAGTTGGTTATTTAGGTAACATTTCCTAAACACCTTGGTAACTACCGGCAATTACCAGTAACACCAGTTACAATTTTCAAACGTGCCCTAAGAAGGTAGAACCGATTGAACTATTTGTCTGACATTGCTTACGTATGGGTATTCGCAGTGGCGGCACACTTCAAAAATCTCGCAGCACACTGAAGTTCCACAGCACAGTGGTTGAGAATCACTGTAATAGACCATGTCTGCCATCTGACTATTGCGAAAAAAACACTGTCTTGCCATATATAAAACAAAGTAATCAAAAATAATGAAGAAAGTTTAATTTTCAATCTTTAACAAAACAGTTTTTTAAGTTAAAATTAGCAAAAAATTAAAATTTTTTTCTGTTATAACAGTTACATAATCTTTTAGATTAAATTCTCATTTAAAGTACATCTTTCCTAAATCTATCATAATTATGAAAATTGATCAACTAGTTACTGAAAAATCTGTCTTTAAACTTTGATAAAATTATATTGCATAATGTGTGTGAAATGTAATAAAGACACAGATGTTTGAAGTTTTTTGCTTAAGACTATTCATAAGAAAAATGTGTAATTATAAGACAAATAATCAACATACTATTCGATGTTTCATGGACACATTTATGAGCTTCAAGAAGAAATGCTTTCATATTTCCATCCCAAGAAGGATTTTCATGAACAAAGATCCACTGTAATAAAAATAATTTTTTTAAAATAGTTTCAACAGAATCAAATTGTTTTATTAGAGAATTACTTACAGTCTTCAAAAGAATATAAATAGAGAATTCAGTTTGCATGACAATTAGTTCTGGGGAAGAAATTAACTTCGTCATGAGCTCAGTACTGAAAAAGTTGTTCTTAATTAATAATCGAACAAATTTTATTTGGTTTATAAACAATAATTCAAAGATAAAATTCATTAAGTGGACACAATGAGTTAGTCCAACAAGTTAAAAAGTTTATATATATATTACTAGAGAATAATAAAACTTTTAGAGTATTCAGAAAATGTTAAAAGTTTTGTGATGTGATTCCTTGTTCATTTATTGAACAATAATGACTAAATATGTACTTAGACACACTCTAATATCAATAAATTTCATAAAGTATAACTATGTTCTATATTTTAATAATTTTATCTGATTCACAAATTTTTAGTCAAAAAATGAATGAATACATATTTTGTAACTTCATTACTAATGTTCTGAATAATAAAATATATTTGCTTTTTGTTACATATGATTGAGGAATCACATATCAAATTTCTGTAATATATTTTCTCAATACCACATATACAGTGTCCAAAAAGTTCTGTGCAGTGAGAAATGCTGTAATAATGTTAAAGTTATGTGTATGGCATTGCATACAAAACCTGTACGTTGTATGTTCTGTGTATCCACTTTCTCCAGGATGCAGTGAAAGATAGGTGTATGAGAACAATCTGCACATACTGGAGGAGCTGGAAATGGCAATTACACAACACATTAAACACATCACAGCACAGTAACTTTTCAAACATCTTGTATAATCTAACATTTATATTCTATTTTACAGTTATATATCATCAGAACTCTTATCTGAAATTGCTTTGAAACATAAAAAATACATTTAAAAATTTGATATACTTTTCAGATGTGCAAATTTATTACTTTTTTCATGCATATTAAAATTATTTTGCAATGGGAGAATTCATATTAAAAGAAAGTGCTGAATCATTAATTAATGCTTTTTAAAAATAGAATTTTATGATCATACAATGAACATTTCACACAGTATATATATAGTTTGGATATTGATTTAAATATTTATTATGATTTTCAGAAAATATATTGTTTATAAAAAAAATTTAAAATATCATTAATTAATTTTAGAAAATAAAACATTTGTTGAATTTGTTGATTATTTCACTCTAAAGTTCAGTCTTTTCTGCAGGTCAGATAAGAGAGATCAGCATGATTATATTCTTTAATCGTTATGATAATTATGCAAATTGTACTTGATTTGTCGCAACTGTGGAGCAGATTCTTGAATTTTTATCATGAGATTCCTTAAGAGCCACTCAAAGGATTTTTCAGCTACCTTTTTTAAACCATATTGTTCAGCAGCTTCATAATACAGTAACACAGTCTGTAAACTAAGAAAATCACTATTANTTATTAGCAATAAACAACAACCACCTAGCCATTAAAATTTAAATATTGATTTTTATGTTATATAGTAATATATTGTAAATAAACACGACATTTGTTTACGCAATAAATGTTTTTTCTTAAAAAAAAATATACACACATTTTTTAAGGGGGTGCAAGAGCTTATTTTCAGATTCAAGGGGGTGCTGACCACTAAAAAGGTTAAGAACTGCTGAGCTAGAATAATAGATAGATGGCAAACACAGTATAGTGTGTTCTTACACACTATACTGTGTACTGTACACAATAACATTAACTACATTTGTATTAGTGTTACAAATTTTTCCAAGGATGAAAAAATTCACACAATCTATATTAAAAGATATTTAATTATCATTCAATATCAACATATATTAAATTTTATGGCAATATTATACATAATAAAGATATTTCTTAAAAAAAAAAAAAAAGGCTAATGCAATATTTTTAACAGACATTAACACAAAATATATTGTTGACTACTGTTAGAAATAAACAAAATTTAAAAAAAAGGCACTAGATTATAATTTTAATGTCCTAAACACCTACACCAGAGTTGCAAACAATAATGGCACTTTCATAAATTTCGAAGCCTTGCTTGGCTTCAAAGAGAAACAAATGAAGCAAAATAGATTCTGAATATAATAGTCTGAAGATGATTAACAATTATCTATCACAGAAATGATTTTTTTTAACAAAATGTCAATAAAAACATTTCAAATAATTACATTACAATAATTTTTCTCTAAGATTTTCCGTAAAAATCTCTCATTTTGACCGAATGAACCGCACCAGTTTATATTTTACATACACTTTCTGAAGAAAACAATGTGATATTAAGAAAAAAAAAGACACTTAATTACCATGAAGTGATGCAAATAACTGATGTTCAGACTGATTAACATGCGGAAAAGTGCGCGAGTAAAAAAAAATGTGCTGTGACAAAAATTATCTCAAAACTGAATATGAAAAGGGTAGACAATCAATTTGCACCTGTGAAATGATAACGACGTGAAATCTTTCTATAAACAATGAAAACATAACAATCTAAAAATAATATATCTTCAGATATTTAAATCTGAACTGAATAATGTAAGTATATATAGTGGCAAATAAATATATTAATAAAATCTGATATATTTTAGTAAGCACCTTATGAATATTTTGATTATGTTTTTTACATTGTTCATGTACAAAAATGAATAATTACAAGTTCCAACGATAATGTTATTAACTGTCTTTTGCATTTCTCACAGGCGAATGCTGCCTGCTAGAGTTCGGAGAGTGAAGAGGAGTCGTAACCAGAAAATTTGCACTGACCACTATGGGAAATGGACAGTCTTTGTCGAGATTCAATACTTTCACTTCCTAAATTTATAAAAATTTTAAATTTTAGTTAATTAATGAAAGTTTAAAAGGAGATTATGCAAAAAATAAATCTTTACTTCATTTTTGGCAAGAGTCAAAGTTTTCAAATTGGTTGTAGCCGTGTAAGTGGCATGGCCTTGTTTATCCAGAGAATAAATCGTTAAACGGTACATCAGATGACGCCTGCATGGCTGGATAGAAGGAATATACCGTTCGGAATCGTTCCTCTGGTTACGACGAAATCGTACACACCTGTAGAAGTAAGTGTTAAAAAGAAGAAAAACTGGAAAATGAAACAATTTAAACATACCTCATGTGATACGTTACCACCAAATCTAGTCCGAAATTAAATCCTGTCCATCTCCAGATATGCTGTGGCATCATAAAGAAATGTATTTAAGTTTTTTTATGATTAGACACAAATCATTATTAGTAAATAAATCTAAGAGGAGACATAATTAAACTTTATTCATGTATACCTGTCCATCCGAAATTAATTTTCTGGCACACCTCAGACACTGTGAATCAAATTCTTCCTGAGCTATTTGTTTGGGTCTGAAATTAAAAACATTTTTTTTAATCAATTTATAACTATTTATTTGGATACTTTGACATTTACGATTCAAAACACAAATTGATTTGAAGTTAGGTTTCATGTACTGTACATGAAGCACATTTATATAGATTAAAACTTTCTGTACACAAAAATCTTGTAAAAAATTTAATGTGGAATTATTATTTATCTTTTATCTAAAACAAACTTGTACTACTTATTTTTATTATAACAACTTCCATTTGAAAACTATTTGGTCCAAGCAAGCTGGATGCTCACTATGCACTTACAGGCCTACAACTGAGTATATAAATTGGTATGACAGCCTCTGTAAATTTGTGAACTACAGTATAATAGAATGTACAGACATCAAGGCTAATGTCAGATAAACATCAAAACAGAGAGGTGCTACTTTTTGATTCATAGATGTGAAAATTCATGGTCATGAAGTTGGTTGTCAGACGAGCACTATATTCTATGGTGTGCATTATTAATCATTTTTATTTCAGATGTCAAAATGGATCTTATAGATTGTGATGCACTGCTGTTTTATTACGTACATACATATTTAAAAACAAAAAAACAGGTGTAGGTAATTGCTCATTTTGTTGTAGAGCTATAGGCTACTTCCTGTTTAAATATCTACATTGCAGTAGTTTGGTATCTGCACTGCAGTATTTTCAGTTTTTGCTGTTTTTGGCATCGTCGCTCTTGTTTTTGTGATTTTGCATTAGTTAGTTCTAGATGGACAGTTCTTCTGGTTCTGGGGCTGTAGGATTGGGTCAACACATCTCGACAGTATGCATAAAATTACGGGAGCTTCTGGACATAATTTTGGCCAACTGTCCAGAAGGCAACAGCACTCTTATACACAAGAAACATAGATCTAAACTTTGTGAAGCTGCCAACCGTAATTTTGGTTTAGCTAATGAAATTATCTTTCTCTCTAGCCACTCTGATAGTGATGTTGATACGTTGAATAAACTAATTTGTAACACATTTGTAATTTGTAACAGAAATCTCTTTCAGACACTGTTAGTAAATTGGAAAAGGAGTTTCTGAGTGAGTTGACTCTATGATGACAAGAAAATAAATAAACTGATTGACACTACAAAAAACGCTTCTAGTCAAATTAGTCTGTCAACCCCTTCTTATGCAAGTATCACTAGGGCTGCCATGACATTTGGCAAACAATTTACAAACAGCTACAGGACATCAGTTTATGAGCAACTACAGTATGCATTCTTTTAATTGCATGGCACATCATGATCCACAGAACCTGGTGTGCTGAAGGCATTTCAGCACACCAGCCATCGGTATTGACGAGTCCCATTACAGCCTAGAAACTAATAGTTGATGAGTGTATATATCTGGCAAGCTCCAGGAACATGTTATAATTCTGCCCACATCATTGAATGTCATCAGTCTGAAGGCAGAGAAGCCTTTATTTGGGTTGGTATCATGTTAAGGTCACGTATGTCACTGCATGTATTCAAATGTGGTACTGTAACGGGCCAGATTTATAGGTATGTCATCCTGTAGCAGTATATGCAACATTTTAGAGATGCATTTGATCCTGGGTTCATTTTAATGGATGATAATGCTCACCCTCACAGATCTGGCTTGGTTTAGGAATGCCTGGAAATTGATATAAGGTGTCTGGACTGGTCACCTTATTCAACAGACTTAAACCTCATAGAATATAATGGTATGCCCCTGGACACAGCATTGTAACACAGACTACTGCAGAGCTCCAAAGAATACTTGTGCAAGAGTGGGATTCATTATCCCAGAAACTGCTGGACAGCATTATAAACAGTATGCCAAACTGCTGTGTAGTATGTATTGCTGTTTTTGGCAATCATACACACTACAGTCGAACCCCCTATAACACTGTTGATTTTTCCATTTTATATGAATTCCATGTTGTACGAGTCACTTAGATTTTACAAATACGTGAGCTGTTCACAGCCTGGCACACGTATTTGTAAAATCTAAGTGACTTGTACAACATCGTACAAAATTCATATAAAATGGAAAAATCAACAGTGTTATAGGAGGGTCAACTGTATTAAGCTTCAGACCATGGTATCACATCACAGCACAAGCAGTATCATATGGGACAGCTCATGTCCATTTCATTTTTTCCTTTTTCCAATGGATTGAGTGAATCCAAACTTCTTTTCTCGCTGAAGTTTGTCTTCCTGTCATATGTTTATAAGATAGGAAGACAAAGTTTGTCACCTTCTTGAAATGTGTTTCTCACAGCTGAATGAGCTATAACCACCCCATACAGCAAATTCCTTAATATACAAATGTTGCTTGAAGAATCCCATAGCCACATTGATAATAGTTTAGAATGAAATGTGATTTTAAGCATATGAACATTGTTTTTCAGCTAATTATGTGTATCATTAATTTTATTTACATTAATTAGAAGAAATTAAATTTTAAATATATATACAAACCCCCTGTCAACACCTTGATCCACACGCAACATGGTATACCACTGAGTTTTAAAAACAGGAAGAAACCAACCTACAGAAATATTTTTATGAATTTATTAAGTAAAAAATCATTAACATCCCTAAAAAATAAATAATTTACTTTTAGGCACAATTTGATCACTGTCCAGCAATTCTACATCAAGATGATGATTCACCAAATGCTGAGATCTTAAGGCACGAAATGCAGGTAAATAAGGTTCACCACTTTCTGTCTCTAAGAAACTTTTTCCCCTTTCTTTTGTAAATAGTAATTTTGATGAAGCTGTAAGCAAAGTATTAAAAATTATTAAATAAAAATAAATAAATACTATATAAAATTTTTGAGAATTTCATATAAAGTGTCTCTCAGAATAAATATACAATTTAAAACTTAAATGCCAAATTTTTCAAATATTAATGAAATTTTATATTAATTATATATACATTAAATATCAATGTTAAAGAAGTAATAAATAAGTTATAATAATGGAGTAAACATATGTGAATTTTAAGTTTTAAAAATTACATCATCAAGATGTTGTCCATCTTGGTAACAGCACTCCTTCAATCTATCCTTCATATTCCCTGTGACCCTCTGAATAGTTTTCCAGGATACTGTTTATTTTGCCTCTAATTTTTTGTTTTAATTGAATATTGTTTAGTAGTCTATGTAAACTTTGCTCTTAAGATAACCCCAGAAAAAATAATCAGTAAGGATAAGGTCAGGTAATCTTGGAGGCCAGGGTATGTCATCAAACTCTGTACACAGAGAAAATTCTCAAATAGTACTCATTGAGACTCTAAGCTGTATGTTGTTGCTCTCTCTTGCTGAAACCAGATATTCACATTATGGGCAGAATACAGATGAAACTTTAGTTTGAAAAATTTTTTATTATTTCATAGTTCTTGTATTGTTGACAGTGACCTCGACCAGCCTCAAATAAATATGGACCAATAATTTCTGTCATAGACATCATACACAATTCTAAAGTCACTTTAGAATTGTGTATGACATTGGATCGAACTTGACATTAGATCAAACTTGGCAAGCGTTTTTGTGTCTGGGGGACCACTTGAAACATGTCATACGCTTCATAGCAACATCACCGTAAGCCGTGTTGAGCATAGCAAATGTTTTGGTCGCAAATTTTCCAGGTTTAACACAAAATTTCACAGCAAGTTGTTGCTCCATCAGGTCATTCATTCTGAAATCCGACAAATGAAAAAAATCACACTTCACTAAAAACCACGTAGCTAATCAACAAATAAAGATATCTGTAATCAGGAAACAGTTTTATCACCAGACGATCTGTACAAACCTAGCGACATCAAGCAGATTCCCCTGAAACCAACTGGAGCCGCGCAATTCAAACAGTCCATGTATTTTTGAACAGACCTCGTAGAAACATTCCTGCCAAACTTTAAAATTTTTGGCCCATGAGATCCTGATATATAAAGTAAAATACATAACTTACATATAGAATTCTGTTCTGTGTTTTTGGAATTGAGAAATGCAAAATTCTCAATAAGTCAAATTTTGCCTGATTATGATACCTCTTTTCACCATGTGGACATTAGGTGGGCCTTTATAATCATAATCATAATCATAACAGTGTCAATGAAAGATTCTTGGATTCTTTTGATGATATCGATATGATCCTGGTTTCCCAGAGTAATAATAGACAAGTAATTCTCAACCTTTTTTTCGTCATGGTACACTTTTAACTAAAAATTTGGCTGCACATACGGTTACTTCAGTAAGTACCACAGGAGAAATGGTGATGTCATAACTGATTCTTAAATGCAGTTGGTTATTTAGGTAACATTTCCTAAACACCTTGGTAACTACCGGCAATTACCAGTAACACCAGTTACAATTTTCAAACGTGCCCTAAGAAGGTAGAACCGATTGAACTATTTGTCTGACATTGCTTACGTATGGGTATTCGCAGTGGCGGCACACTTCAAAAATCTCGCAGCACACTGAAGTTCCACAGCACAGTGGTTGAGAATCACTGTAATAGACCATGTCTGCCATCTGACTATTGCGAAAAAAACACTGTCTTGCCATATATAAAACAAAGTAATCAAAAATAATGAAGAAAGTTTAATTTTCAATCTTTAACAAAACAGTTTTTTAAGTTAAAATTAGCAAAAAATTAAAATTTTTTTCTGTTATAACAGTTACATAATCTTTTAGATTAAATTCTCATTTAAAGTACATCTTTCCTAAATCTATCATAATTATGAAAATTGATCAACTAGTTACTGAAAAATCTGTCTTTAAACTTTGATAAAATTATATTGCATAATGTGTGTGAAATGTAATAAAGACACAGATGTTTGAAGTTTTTTGCTTAAGACTATTCATAAGAAAAATGTGTAATTATAAGACAAATAATCAACATACTATTCGATGTTTCATGGACACATTTATGAGCTTCAAGAAGAAATGCTTTCATATTTCCATCCCAAGAAGGATTTTCATGAACAAAGATCCACTGTAATAAAAATAATTTTTTTAAAATAGTTTCAACAGAATCAAATTGTTTTATTAGAGAATTACTTACAGTCTTCAAAAGAATATAAATAGAGAATTCAGTTTGCATGACAATTAGTTCTGGGGAAGAAATTAACTTCGTCATGAGCTCAGTACTGAAAAAGTTGTTCTTAATTAATAATCGAACAAATTTTATTTGGTTTATAAACAATAATTCAAAGATAAAATTCATTAAGTGGACACAATGAGTTAGTCCAACAAGTTAAAAAGTTTATATATATATTACTAGAGAATAATAAAACTTTTAGAGTATTCAGAAAATGTTAAAAGTTTTGTGATGTGATTCCTTGTTCATTTATTGAACAATAATGACTAAATATGTACTTAGACACACTCTAATATCAATAAATTTCATAAAGTATAACTATGTTCTATATTTTAATAATTTTATCTGATTCACAAATTTTTAGTCAAAAAATGAATGAATACATATTTTGTAACTTCATTACTAATGTTCTGAATAATAAAATATATTTGCTTTTTGTTACATATGATTGAGGAATCACATATCAAATTTCTGTAATATATTTTCTCAATACCACATATACAGTGTCCAAAAAGTTCTGTGCAGTGAGAAATGCTGTAATAATGTTAAAGTTATGTGTATGGCATTGCATACAAAACCTGTACGTTGTATGTTCTGTGTATCCACTTTCTCCAGGATGCAGTGAAAGATAGGTGTATGAGAACAATCTGCACATACTGGAGGAGCTGGAAATGGCAATTACACAACACATTAAACACATCACAGCACAGTAACTTTTCAAACATCTTGTATAATCTAACATTTATATTCTATTTTACAGTTATATATCATCAGAACTCTTATCTGAAATTGCTTTGAAACATAAAAAATACATTTAAAAATTTGATATACTTTTCAGATGTGCAAATTTATTACTTTTTTCATGCATATTAAATTATTTTGCAATGGGAGAATTCATATTAAAAGAAAGTGCTGAATCATTAATTAATGCTTTTTAAAAATAGAATTTTATGATCACACAATGAACATTTCATACAGTATATATATATATATATATATAGTTTGGGTATTGATTTAAATATTTATTATGATTTTCAGAAAATATATTGTTTATAAAAAAAATTTAAAATATCATTAATTAATTTTAGAAAATAAAACATTTGTTGAATTTGTTGATTATTTCACTCTAAAGTTCAGTCTTTTCTGCAGGTCAGATAAGAGAGATCAGCATGATTATATTCTTTAATCGTTATGATAATTATGCAAATTGTACTTGATTTGTCGCAACTGTGGAGCAGATTCTTGAATTTTTATCATGAGATTCCTTAAGAGCCACTCAAAGGATTTTTCAGCTACCTTTTTTAAACCATATTGTTCAGCAGCTTCATAATACAGTAACACAGTCTGTAAACTAAGAAAATCACTATTAAAATCATTAATTTTTAAGAATTTTTAAAAATAATTTATTAAATATTAATATTTATCATTACTAAATAATAATTAATAATAGTTTAAAAATTAATAGTGCAGTACTCGACCAAATATCTAATGAACTTGAGACTGGAAGTGGTCCAGATTATTCAATTTTCTGAATGAAGGCTAAATATATACTTAAAATATAAAATAAACAATGGAAAGTACAGAATGAAACATTTTAACACACTTGTATGCCAGCAGTTACACTGGAACTGGCATCGTGTATTGAATATTTCACAGAAACCAAACCAAAATGGCTGCACAGCCAACTATAGATGTATTATAGCCCACCAAATTAAAAAATACATAGTTTTCTGATAATTCCAAATTTCTGGAAATCGGATATTTGGTCCGATACTGTAAATTAAAAAAATAAAATTATAAAACATTATAAATTATTATATAAAAACGATAGTCATTCATTTTTATTTCTAATAATTTGGAATAAATACAAAATAATTAATTTTAACACACATAAAATATACAGTGTAATTGAAAAGTTGCTTCACAGTAGATGTGAAAATGGAAGGAGCTTCCAGGAATGAAGTAATGATGTCACAGGCAGACTGCATATCAAAATAGTTAAAGTAAGTTATGGTGCCGCAACTCAGCCAAGCCACTTGGATATGGCCCACTGTGGAGCAACTTTGTAGTTGCACTGTATATGTTAAAATTAATATAAACATGTAATATGCATATATACAAAATATTATACTGAAAATTTGTTATAGTTTGTTAAAATATTTGTGATTAAAATTTATTCATATTCTAAACAACAGTTAGTAATTTAATTCTTAACGTGTAAAAATGGGTTTGCTTTATCAAATGTCATGAAACTGTCAAAAACTAGAATTTGAACCTTGCAAATTCTTAATACGAGCAAATGAATCAAAATATAAAATTATAATAAACTTGTTTTTACTTTTGTGGCTCTGTTATACGAGGGAAAGTATGGCAATCAGACAAAAAATGAATCCCAAGATTTTTACATTTTTGGACTTGGGGCACCTTGAAATATCAAGAAATGCAAAAACATTCATGGGGATTTTTCTATATTTTTAAATGTTAGTGTGTGTTTAGGGAACAATTTTGTTCACCCTCTCTGAAGCATAGTAATGTCTGTGCTTTATTTCTGAAAATTTCTGAAATTTTGCATGGAGATTTCTGTATTAAAGAGATTGATGCTATTAAATTTTGGTGGTTAAAGTTCGACAGGGTGAGAACATAAAGGGGAGTTGTGTGTCATATCTCAAGTATTGTTAAACATAATGATGATTTTACTCATCATCATCATCATCATCATCATTTACAATTTTTTTTTTTTTTTTATAAAACCCATCTCTATTCTCAAATTTAAGCTTTTTGCCATTTTTTAATAACTGAAAATATGAAGTTTTTTAAAAATAAAGTATCATAATAGATGATGCCCCCACACAGTTTTAAATATTGCCGGGAAAGTTAAGTAACTTGTTGGAATTTTTTTCTAGATGTAATGCACCATTCATGATAATAAAAATCATCATTATTAAATTAAAAATAAGTTTCCAATATCAAAAGAATTAAAAACTTTTATGAGGAAAATTATCAGAAACTCAGAAAAATTAGTTATTCTCATTAAAATTGAATGTGATTTAACTCAATTGTTTTGAAAATGTAATTTCATTTAATTAACAACTTTTGCTAAAGTTTTTTTTATATATACAGTATAATGTTGGTAATCTGAAATATTTGAGACTTGTACAGTGTCAAATTAAGGAGATTACCTTATTGGACATAAGATGAATTTAATGGTTTAACCCTTTTAGTAGCACCAATAATAATTTTTTGCCTGCTATCTTTGTTAATATTGCCTCTTCCAAGAATTTCTCTAGAAAAAAATATTTCTTTATTTGCATAATATTAGTATCATACATTGTATTAATCAAAAACATAAAATATCAAGAAAATATGAAAGGAGAGCAATCATATGCTATTGTATTTTAGAATTGTCAATCCTTTTAAAATAATTTTCAATTGTCTCCTGCCATACAAGTGCAATGCAATTGCTGATAATTAACATTGCCAAGATGAGTGATTCCACTAAATTTAATAGAAAATTGAAGCAACTGTGGAAAATTTAGTAAAAGATACAGTATTTTTGATGGATAATTTCAGAAAATTGATTTTTTTACATTTATATGGTTTGGTTGTATCTTTTTTGAGCAGCCTATGATGATGGTGTCTAACAATCTTTTATATCATGCCCAAGCTTAAGTGTTCAAGCTCAAGTTGATATCATGCCACATTTAGCAAGAACTGGAGTTTTTACTAGAGGGAAGCTTGTCTGTGACTTGGCAACAGCACCAGTAATATCCTAGAATTGACTAGTGTGCCCGTTCTTTTGCCACTTTACATGTCAAACTAGCATATAACTAGGTTATCAAGATTGTACTGTATATATATACATAATTAAACTTTACCCTTTTGTTGTTATTCAATGGTATTTTCCAACTATTAGTTAGATATATTTTTTAGATACCCCAAGTAACACACAAAATATTTTATTTTGGATTTTCTTAACAAATGTTCATGCAATTACAATTTAATTTACATAGCATAATTTTTAAACTCTTTTTTTTATAATGAAATACTTTCTCTCTTGTAATTAGGTTACACTTGTTTGTTCTAAAGAAAATGAGACTGACTCCTGTAAATCTAATGTGACCTTTCTTTATATATATGAAACTGAGAAGAGAAGAAAATGCTTACTTAATAGTCTCCAACATTATTTCAGCACACTGTTGGATCATTCCATCCTGAATGTATATATTTAAACAAACAGTTTTTATAAAGATTTTATTATTAGAAAACTAAACTCATTAATATATAACTTTATAACAAAGATACAAAATTACTGACTTACCAACTGGAAGAGAGTGGCAGTCGAAAGAACAGGCACCACTTCAGCAGGCTCTATTGATACTTCATCTTGATAAAGTGATCCAAAAACAATTTTTAATGCTAGAAAAAAAATTATCTATTTAATTCAATAATAATTATAAAATTACTATCTATCTGTTATATCAATTTAGAAGTTAAATTTCACAACAAGTTTCTTTTATACTAATGTACAGTGATCAGATTTTTGAACCTTTGAAGCAGGGCTGTGGAGTTGGAGTTGGAAAAAATGTGTCGATTCCGACATTTTAAATTTAATTTAGTTTCTTTTTTTATTTAAATGAAAGAAAATTTATTTTATATTTATAAATTTTTTAAAATGTTTTTGTATTTTGTTATAATTCATTTATTTTAAATACAAAATGCAATAATTTAATTTATTAAATATGTATCAATAGTTTTCTTTGTAGTATTTGTGTTTAGTAGTTAAATTATTTTGACCCAATTGAATTTGACTATTATTGATTCATTCCTTTCTTATCCTCACTCTAAATAAGTATTCTATTTTTCTGAATGAGCCAGAATAATTAATCAAAGTATATATTTTTCTTTTCTGAACAAGGGGCTGAAGTAGCTAGATCACACACTTTTTAGTTGAACTAACTTTTCTGGAAAAGTAAAATCGAAGTGCAAAGCTGTAGAATAAAGATATGTAAATGTAGAATTTTATCGCTCTCCCTTTTCCCTCATTAAATATTTGTTAAAAATTAATTTTTTTATACAAATAAATATCAAAAGATAGAAGTATTTACACGGCATGAAGCATTCACTAGCAATTGTAACAATGAACTAAACTTGATACATCCATGTTGCCCCAGGACCACTGTAATGGCAAACAAGATTCAATCAATTTGAGACCTTTTTGAAGGTGTCTAATGGTTAATAGTGAACAAAATTTGTAAGGAAACTGGGATAACCATGGCAGTGTGCAGTCAATGGACTGAGTTAAAGTTTCAAAAATTGTGGTCCAATGAGTTCCATGCCTATTGAATGCAAATCAGAAGGCTGCTTGAGTTGAAATTTGACAGAGACTGCTGAATCAATACAAAGTAGAAAGGGATGCATTCTCACCTATGATGAGATATGGGTGCATCACTATACTCTGGAGTCAAGAAAGAGCAATATGGAATGGCAAAGAAAGGTTGAAGCAGGTCCTCTGAAAGCAAATTGTGGATAAGGTTCTTGTCACTATGTTTGGAATTACAGAGTGTGTATACATTGATTTCCTCAATAAACAAAAGACAGTTAATGTTGCTTACTACTGCAAACTGTTGGATAAAGTCAAGGAAGACTATTAGTCTAAAGAATGAGGTATCCAGTCTGAAACATGTTGTTCCTATACAACAACGACACTCTAATTAAGAGAAAATAATGCAAAAGCATTGAGATCTTTGTTGAATATCCTGAATATAGCCCAGACATATCACTATCTGATTACCATTTGTTTGGACCACTCAAGCAGACATTGGGAGAATGATTGAAAATTGATAAACAGATAGAACACTATGTGCAACTAACTTTGGGCACAACTCACTAGTTTCTATAATGCAACAATCAAAACACTGATAATCAGGTGGGAAAAGTGTTTAACATGTTAATTGCCATCCATCGCGCCGACGATTGTACGGCATACGGCCATCTGACCGCCCGCCATCAATTAAACAATGTAGTTTCACTCAAGGTTAAATTATCCTGGTTTCATAAGACGTTTTTCTGCATACTAGTGGTGGCCTCTCGTGGATGTCTATGCACTTCACTTGGAACGCCAGCGGTTGGATGGCCAGAACGTCCCTTAGCTACGACCGCCAGCGTGTCGTATGGCCTCATGAAGTGTTTCAAGATCAGCGGTCATAGTTTTTTTTNTCAATTTAGAAGTTAAATTTCACAACAAGTTTCTTTTATACTAATGTACAGTGATCAGATTTTTGAACCTTTGAAGCAGGGCTGTGGAGTTGGAGTTGGAAAAAATGTGTCGATTCCGACATTTTAAATTTAATTTAGTTTCTTTTTTTATTTAAATGAAAGAAAATTTATTTTATATTTATAAATTTTTTAAAATGTATTTGTATTTTGTTATAATTCATTTATTTTAAATACAAAATGCAATAATTTAATTTATTAAATATGTATCAATAGTTTTCTTTGTAGTATTTGTGTTTAGTAGTTAAATTATTTTGACCCAATTGAATTTGACTATTATTGATTCATTCCTTTCTTATCCTCACTCTAAATAAGTATTCTATTTTTCTGAATGAGCCAGAATAATTAATCAAAGTATATATTTTTCTTTTCTGAACAAGGGGCTGAAGTAGCTAGATCACACACTTTTTAGTTGAACTAACTTTTCTGGAAAAGTAAAATCGAAGTGCAAAGCTGTAGAATAAAGATATGTAAATGTAGAATTTTATCGCTCTCCCTTTTCCCTCATTAAATATTTGTTAAAAATTAATTTTTTTATACAAATAAATATCAAAAGATAGAAGTATTTACACGGCATGAAGCATTCACTAGCAATTGTAACAATGAACTAAACTTGATACATCCATGTTGCCCCAGGACCACTGTAATGGCAAACAAGATTCAATCAATTTGAGACCTTTTTGAAGGTGTCTAATGGTTAATAGTGAACAAAATTTGTAAGGAAACTGGGATAACCATGGCAGTGTGCAGTCAATGGACTGAGTTAAAGTTTCAAAAATTGTGGTCCAATGAGTTCCATGCCTATTGAATGCAAATCAGAAGGCTGCTTGAGTTGAAATTTGACAGAGACTGCTGAATCAATACAAAGTAGAAAGGGATGCATTCTCACCTATGATGAGATATGGGTGCATCACTATACTCTGGAGTCAAGAAAGAGCAATATGGAATGGCAAAGAAAGGTTGAAGCAGGTCCTCTGAAAGCAAATTGTGGATAAGGTTCTTGTCACTATGTTTGGAATTACAGAGTGTGTATACATTGATTTCCTCAATAAACAAAAGACAGTTAATGTTGCTTACTACTGCAAACTGTTGGATAAAGTCAAGGAAGACTATTAGTCTAAAGAATGAGGTATCCAGTCTGAAACATGTTGTTCCTATACAACAACGACACTCTAATTAAGAGAAAATAATGCAAAAGCATTGAGATCTTTGTTGAATATCCTGAATATAGCCCAGACATATCACTATCTGATTACCATTTGTTTGGACCACTCAAGCAGACATTGGGAGAATGATTGAAAATTGATAAACAGATAGAACACTATGTGCAACTAACTTTGGGCACAACTCACTAGTTTCTATAATGCAACAATCAAAACACTGATAATCAGGTGGGAAAAGTGTTTAACATGTTAATTGCCATCCATCGCGCCGACGATTGTACGGCATACGGCCATCTGACCGCCCGCCATCAATTAAACAATGTAGTTTCACTCAAGGTTAAATTATCCTGGTTTCATAAGACGTTTTTCTGCATACTAGTGGTGGCCTCTCGTGGATGTCTATGCACTTCACTTGGAACGCCAGCGGTTGGATGGCCAGAACGTCCCTTAGCTACGACCGCCAGCGTGTCGTATGGCCTCATGAAGTGTTTCAAGATCAGCGGTCATAGTTTTTTTTTAAATAAAAATCTATTTTATATCTGATAGTGATTTATTTTAATAGTAAATAGTTTAAAATATCAAAAACTAGTTTAATTATTCTCTTTTATTGCATATAAAGTAAATAATATTACAAAAAAAAATCAAAGTATATAAGTGCGTTTTAATATATATTTACAGAAAAAAACATTTGCAGTGGAAACAAAGTGTGAAATATTTTTAACACAAAGATGTAAAAAAGGGGAGGATGTCTAATTACACAGGGTTGTAAAATAAATAGCCGGGGGAAAGTAGTCTCCCATTCAACGCCATACGACTGCCAGTCGACATGCATATGTCTTTCTTATCTCCCCTCTCCTTACTATTATATATCGACCCTTTTATTTACATTAAAATAAAATATTAGACATCAAATTTTCACATTTTGGACCCCCATTGCACAAAATATCATATTACAACCAGCAGTTAATGTGTTGTGTTAGATGAAACTATGTAAAAAATGAAATTGTGTATATATTTGAAAAAAGTCATTTAATAAAGAAAAAAAGTTTGGTTTATATATTTGACTAACTCTCATATTTTAATAATTGCTGGTTTTAATAGATATTTACTTTCACAATATAGGGTATTTCAAAAATATACTAATATTACTACAGAAGTAACTTGTTATGCCAGATTTGTAGTGGTAAATTTTCCTGTGTAGCTCTCTACCACAGGTAAAAATTCATGACCAGAATGTGGAGTTCTCATAAAAGGAAAGCCTAAATATCTCTGCTATGGCAATCGTGCATCTTCTCTATATAAGCACTAACATTTTTTTTGGGAAACTCTGAATATAAATATCCATTTTCATTTGAAATTTTTGTTAGAAACTGACAGATTAATGGATTAATGTTAGTTTCAGTTACTGAAAATACAGTGTTCTAAATGATTTGTATTAATTCAAAAATATCAGTTGGATATTTAGAAACTGAATATTTTAATCAAAGATTTGCATTTGTCAAAATTGTTTTAGAAGCAGATATTTAACCATAATTTTTTTTAATACTGTCTTGCAGGTACTAAGAACACTTTTCTTCATGTCCATCAAGGTTTAACCAGACCAGCAACTGAGCAATCAAATGATAAATGACATATCTATGAAAGTTTTGTGGATCTCACCCAGATTCAAATCCTGAATACCTCAAAATGGCAAACTAATAACTTCATTACTCAACTATCTGATAATTTCTTTTTATAAGACAGAAGAATTCTGCAAACTCAACTTAATATGGACTGAGAAGGCGACAAGTTACTGAAAATGACTAGCTTTACGGATAGCAACAATGCTAGTCTAAATAATGGAATTTTTGTAAAGGTATTAAGAGTGCAAATCTGTGTACATATTAATTACATATCAATAGTGACTATTTTTATTTCTAGTTAAATTTTAATTAAAAAACTATTGACTATTCGGTGGTTACTTTAAAGTTAGTGACATTT